ACAGAATCTGAATTGTGGAAGGTCTTTGATCACCGGCACTGCGTCGTGCGAGTGGAGGTTAAGTAAAGCGCGCGAACCAAGGACACATCAGCTCGGAAGAAAGTAAGCCTTTCAAATGGCGTCGCCTTTCGCTTGTCACCTTGAGAAGACACTCTGAAACATACAAATTGTGCAATATCTCTGTACTTTTCCAGAGTTAAGAAGTATCACCCGCTGTAGAGTGCGCTGCTTGCAAGGCTTAGTAGCGTCGAGATTGCGTTGAGACAGCAGTAAACCGAGTAGTGCCAAAAATAATATAAAACATGCGTACCTTACCGTGCTTTGCCGACAAAACCGCTAAGCTTAAACTCGCGTCATACTTTGAGGCCAGCCGACCTGCGCGACGAGAATACGAAATTCTATTTGCAATTCATATCCCAGTTCTTACGATCCTATTTTTATCGTCAGGTCCTTTCGGAAAACGAAAATAAATTGTTCATGTGAAGACAGCCTTATCAACTAGACCTTCAAAACTTTCTTCCTCATTAATATAGTATGTTTCATGAAGTGATTTTAACGTGTTATTACTAACCGAAAAAATATCCCATGATGAGTTTGAACAAATAAAGACACGACTTGATTTAGGCGCTTTAACAGAATGAATGTAAATAGAATAAAGAACAAGATATTTTAGACCTTTTTGAAGTAAAATACAACATAAAATGCAATAAGAAACGTAATGAAGCATGGAAAAAACTGTTTTACAGGGGCGTCACTTATACACTACTTCTATTTTGCGAATCGAAGCGCTTATATAAAATGAATAGCAAGACGTTAGACACAAGGGAACCCAAAAGAAAATGTGGGAATACACATTAGATGTTGTGCAATATCACCTCTTGTAGTAAATTCAGCTTCGAATCTTGAGAAAAGTATCACAAGAAGGTGACGCGAAGTGGCATTTAAACAATTCACCCAGGTCCTCTTAGCGCCTTGCAAAGTCAAGCAGAACGTAACCTCTTTTTTTCTTCCTTCTTTTCTTTTCCTTAATTATGAAGCCGTCGCGCCTGAAAGCTGCCTACGAACCCCATGATTGACAGTTCGAAAGAAACTCGGAAATTACTTTTCCAAACTCTTTCCTGTATTCAGCGTCTACGCCGGGCCCGCGGGCGGCGTGCCTGCCGGCGGCGGCGTGGCTGGCGGGCGCGGGGACGGCTCTCAGGGTCGTTAATTGATCAAAAGAAAGCGGCGACGACCCGACGAACGCGCGACGAGGCGGCGAGCGACGCGGATCCGGCGGGGCAGGGCGGAGCGGGGCGGAGCGGGGCGGAGCGGGGCGGAGCGGGCGGAGCGGGGCGGAGCGGGGGCGGAGCGGGGCGGAAAGGGGCGGACAGCGGGGCGGAGCGGGGCGGAGCGGGGCGGAGCGGGGGCGGAGCGGGGGCGGAGCGGGGGCGGAGCGGGGCGCGAAGCGGGGCGGAGCGGGCGGAACGGGGCGGAGCGGGGGCGGAGCGGGGCGGAGCGGGGCGGAGCGGGGCTGAATAAGGAGGGGGCGGAGCGGGGCGGAGCGGGGCGGAGCGGGGGCGGAGCGGGGCGGAGCGGGGCGGAGCGGGGCGAGCGGGGCGAGCGGGGCGGAGCGGGGCGAGCGGGGCGGAGCGGGGCGGAGCGGGGCGGAGCGGGGCGGAGAGGGCGGAGCGGGGCGGAGCGGGGCGGACGGGCGGAGCGGGGGCGTGGAGGCGGGGGCGGAGCGGGGGCGGAGCGGGGCGGACGGGGCGGAGCGGGGCGGAGCGGGGGCGGAGCGGGGCGGAGCGGGCGGAGCGGGGCGGCGCGGGCGGAGCGGGGGCGGAAGCGGGTGGCGGAGCGGGGCGGAGCGGGGGCGGCGCGGGGGGAGCGGGGCGGAGCGGGGGCGGAGCGGGGCGGATGCGGGGCGGAGCGGGGCGGAAGCCGGGGCGGAGCGGGGCGGAGCGGGGGCGGAGCGGGGCGGCGCGGGGCGGACGGGGCGGAGCGGGGCGCGGAGCGGGGCGGAGCGGGGGGCGGAGCGGGGCCGGAGCGGGGCGAAGCGGGGCGAGCGGGGCGAGCGGGGGGAGCGGGGCGAGCGGGGCGGAGCGGAGCGGAGCGGGAGCGGAGCGGAGCGGGGTCGGGGCGGGGCGGGGCGGGCAGGGCGGAGCGGGGCGGGGCGGGGCGGGAAAGTGTGCAAGGCGCCGGAGGGGCCTGTCGAGAATTCCGTGAAAAAGAGGTGACGGAGGAGGAGGCGGCGGCGGCCGGGGAAGCGACAGGCCAGCATGCAAAGTGTCGGCGCCAGAGAACGGAACGCGCCGCTGAGGACCGCCGGCCACAATGGCCGCTGGTAATGACCGTCGAGGAGGGGTTGGCCCCAGGAGCTTGGCACGTTCAGGGTTGCGCGGCGGCCGAGCCACAGGTCGCATCTGGCCCGACGTGAAGTGTTCCGAATCCCACGTCCTCAACTCGTCAAATTAGCGCGTTCGCGATTGAAGGGCTCAGTTGAACAAGGGGCTATCCCATAGTTTTTATGAATTTGATTTATTAGCATTAAATATAATTTCAAATATTATTATTTTGGAGTAATGTGTTGTGTAATTCCAGTGTAAAGATGTATGCACGTGTACTGTATTTAAAAGTCTAACAAAAATAACCGGGTTACATTATTAAATTTCTAGTAAAACTATATACTAAAACTAAAACGATATACTAGTTCTATATATAATATCTCAGAACTAGTAGGTCAATGTGGCGGGGCTAGGTCAATGAACCTTTAATTCTACTGAGCCCTTGAATTATTTGATCGGTTCCAAGTAAAGGGTTTGTATTCATGGGGTAATTAAATAGATTGTACAATGTTGGTCATTTAAAATCCGTAAGATCTTCCTGAATCTTTTTAGTATAATGAACGATGGGTTCGGTTCCCCGACCAGGTCTAACGTTAATTGGCAGACGCAGAACGGGTAAGGAAGGGTTGCAGGCGCTCGTGACCCGTTTAAGAAGATAATGATTGTAATGGATAGGAACACAAATCACCAACAAAAGCCACTCCTTTTTAGAATTCTTGTTCAGGAATTGGTCGAGCCACAGTTTATTCACAAGAATCGAAAATATGAAAGAGCTGGAAGACGAACCAAGGTTCTGAAAGCACATGCTTCTGCGCCGGAGTCGGCAACTACTAGGCTGTCCGGGAGTCGCCGCGTCCTGGCCAGGGGGCACCTGTGCCTAAGGCGCGGCGTCTCCCGAACAACCAACTTGCTACGAAACTGGTTCTCGTCTGGTTTGCGAAGGTTTCAGTCGCAGACTTGAAGCTACTTACACTTGCGCCCGAGTTATCTTTATGAAATTCATTTCGAAAGTATGAGCATCTTTTAACATACACAGCAATTTGGGATTTTTAAAATACTATTTACGACCCGATTTATATAAAGAACAAAATTATCGAGTAATGTTAGAAGACAATGTCTGCTAGTAGTTCTTACGTTGAAGTCATCAGATGAAATTCTAAACTTACTTTGTGTTGTGCAAAATTTAAGTAATTTCCAGCAATTGGAAAAAAAAATATTCAATAAGCGCCCAACTCACTCTTCTAAATTAATCATTATTTTTAGACTATAACATTGACAATAATAAGTGAGTAAATATACAATACATGGAATATTGTGCAAGTGAAAAAATAATTTGTATTGCACGTGGTATTTGAGTCGTTTAATTTAATTGCTAATTTCTTTTCGACCTGCAGAAAGAATTACTTTTGTCACTATAACACTTAACGGTATTCGAAAAAGGCACCGACATTTCATTTTTTAAATTTATCTCTAATAATATTATTTTTGTTAATTCTAGCTTATTGAAGATGACAATTGTACAATAAATTTCCGAAATCGGTTTACAGAAACTAATGAACCATATTTTATTTCTTCATATTACTTATCTCGTGAACTATGAATAAAAGTTTTACATATTTTTTTTAAGTTATCAATCTCCATTCTAGGGTAGATCAAGGTTGTTTACCCCTGACATCGACATTCACGTACACACCGTCCCCTGCTAGAGGTTTCTGAAGGGTACAATCATTCCTTACAAGCACGTCATCGTTGCTCGTTAATTTTAAAGAACGTAATCAACTCAGAACTTAGTCTTGTTCACAAAGCCTGCCGCCAATAAAGGCTTAAGAATACTTTAAAAAAAGAGGTACGATTAGAAAACTTAATATTTTCTTGAGTTGACTTGAATAGCTTAAGGCACTCGCTTGAACGACAACGGCTTGTCTTCAAGTGGGTCACACCAAAAACTGTAATTACATGTATGAATGCAAGGTTGTAACACTGGTGATGAAGATTTATTCATAAAGTACTTCTAAAAGCTAAGGATTTTCATTCATAGTAACGACTTTCCATCACGTAGTAATACACTATCAGGAAGTCGCTGAAAAAGTCACTTTTGCCCTTCGTGATATTCACGTCCAGACCCTCTTGAAGATTAGACAAGTCAATTGTGGTTTCCAAAGCGTAATTTTGCAATTAACGGGTAATAATTGTTCAATTGAGCAACGCGTAAGTTACATTTCCCTAAAATAATTATTCCCTTTACAAGACACTCATGAATGAGCCAGTAAACTGTAAACTGCCTTTGTGCGTGAATGTCAAAATCAAAGAAGAAAATAACATTTACGAATAAAAATAGTTATATTTTTTATTTTACCACCCACACTAATTTATTTTCAGTTAATTTTTACATTCCATTTTTTAGAGAACTTCTAATACAAACAAGTACCTCATTAATTCACGTCGGTTGTCGGGGCCAGTCATTACCAAGGTCGGTTTTTCCTATATTATTTAAAAATTAAAAATAGTTCAGAAAACATTGATAGAGTATTATTGTTAGCCCATTCCACTTTTCTCATTTCATGATATACACTTAATTTCCATCTTATTTTGAGATATCAAAAATTACTTTTCTACCTAAAACCTGACAGCTTGCTTCCTTAGCCATTTTTTTCCTAAAGAAAAAAGGCACAGTACCTTGGCCATCGGCGCTCGCTCTACCATCAACGCCAGGCGGCCACGTCAACGACGTCCCGGGAGCTTGAGGGAGCCGCACAGAGGGTCTGACCGGCCCTTTGAGGGCGCAGAGGCGCGTCAAAAAAAAGTCCTTAGCTAAAAATCCCTCCGCCCTCAGCCGGAAGGTCGGTGTCGCTGGACCCTTTTCCAGCGGCGGCG